GGGAGGAGGAGGTGGTGTAGGAGGTCTTTCGAAGGGCTCAGGAGGGGGCAGGGCGACAGGCACACCTGCGGAGCCGTTTGAAATAATACCATCCATGATGGTTTGCGGGGAACTATGTCGCAAGTTGCGGTTGCGGACCCTTCGATAAGTGAAGCGTATCTCGAATTTCTACGGAAAGGCGTAGAAGCTCAATACGCAGTCACGTGATTGCCGAACCATATGACATCAACAACCAGTGTACAGTGAGAAGAGCTACATAAAGTCTCAGTGGCATTGCGACCTAGAATTAGAGTACACGATTGAAAATAAAATGTCCAAATCCATAATCCCCACCCAATCAGCTGGCATGATATCATTCGAGAAGTAGTGGCGGAGAAGCAGAGAGTCCGCCGAAATTGTAATGGCCCTCTGCTGTTGTTGTAAAATCAAGCACTCAAGTAGCTGTTCTACATGGAGATGACTCCTACCGAAGACAAAAAGAGAAAAACATGAGGTCCCCATCCACCTTATCGGTAAGGGACGGGCTGAGATGGGTACTACCCAGGTCCGCAGTCAGCCAGTGTCTATTGCTGAGATCACACATGCCAACTAAGCACTTACACCACCATTGACCGGAGTCTGTTGATAGTGAGCGTATGGACTGGTTTGGGGAGCAGGAGCGGCGACAGCAACCGTTGGGTCCACAACAGGCGCCGCCTGACTGCCGTTCTGCGGGGCTTGCACTGCGCCTCCAGTCTTGGTATGAGCCACTGAGGCAGGACCATGGACCTCGCGATCAAGAGTCATGTACTCCTTCGCCGCGTCCTTAGTTCCCCGTTCAAGCAAGTAGACCATATAGATCTGAACGAGGTCCCTCACGACGTCAGACGAAAGAACACTCTTAGAACGGATGTCATCAACCACCTGCTTGATCCGTTCGTACTGGACGTTCTCAATAGCAGCACTTGTAGGCTGCTCTAACTCAAACATGAGATAGCTGGTCCAGAATGGACGGCTGTCCAGGTAGTACTGCTGATTCTTCTGGTAGACTTGACGCGCATCTTCGGCTGAGCCCTTAATCTTCCACAGGAGGCGAGCCCACTCGGCAACAAGCGCAGCCTTGGTAGCCAGATCGGACTGAGGTGAATCCAACTGATTCTTGTATACTTCGATCGCAGCCTCAAGGCCACCATGACGACGAGACATGTTCGCCAAGGAGACGATAGTCTCCACATGGTTTGGTAGTGTGATAAGTATCGCTTCGTGGATATCCTTAGCAACGTCCACCCGGCCGCTCATCTCTTCAAAATATGCGTACTGGAGGCGTGTGGCGGGGTTTGCGATTGGAACATAGAAGCAGCTTGCACGTTGATAGATATTCCGCACCTCTTCCTCCTTGCCAGGCTGGGCACCCATCCATCTAGCATAGCGTTGCCAGAACTCGTCGTAATGAGCGCATGTCACGAGACACCGCTCGTATAGGAATTGAATTCGAGAATATGACCCCTCTGCCTCTTCGAAGTCAAGATACTTCTTCCAGTTAGTTAGCTGGCCCTCGTCCAGCTCTGTGACATGGAAGTATGGGCGCTTGATCTCCGACTCGTAGGTCCATCGCTTGGTAGTCTCTGTCTGAGTCTTCGAGAAGATTTCAAGGTGGTAAGTGTCGACACGGAGCCGAAGATCCCTTTCGATTTCCGCTTCTGCCTTGGCGCCCGGGGGTATTTGGCCAGCGGCCGCTTCAAGCTCGGCGCGGAATTGAGACAGGGTCTCCGCAGGCGCCAATTCTGATAATGGTCGAGTCTGCGCAAGTTGGCGATATCTTTCGAAGTAACGAGCATATTGATGCATTGGAATGTGGATAACACGGCCAAGAATGGCAAAGATCTTTTCTGGAGCTTCGACTCGCTCTTCGAACTCGATATATTTATCCCAGAAGGGATGCGCCAGGAAATCTAATCCAACGCTGCTCGCTCCTCGCTCGAACAACCTGCAAGGAAAGTATGTTAGCACCGACAACTGGTATATTGTTTGAGCAGAAACGGGGTGGAGAAGGGTATCTGGAAAGAGGGGATGGCAAGGATGGCAAACATCAGTTTTAGCTAATCAGTGCGCGAGCCCAAACAATTCAACGAGTAGGATGATCAGACTGTGGGAAGAATTCTCTTCCCCCCTCCCTGCGCATCGTGCGCGAAAGAAGCAGCCTCCGAACAGAGTTACTGGTCTTGGTGTCCGTGCAAGGAAGTGGTGCTTGAGGTCAAATCATTTTCACCAAGGGAAAGGATACAGCCTGAAAAAGCCAAGGGTGAGAAGTAAACTTCAGTTGAACCTGGGTAAGGCGACAATCTCACCCATCATCAAGGGATTTGTTGCCAGTGAAATTTTGCATCATGCGTATTCGGCACCACGATAAGGTCCGCGCTGTGTCGGTAAAGGTTACAGGGAGGGAAAGGAAACCAGCTATAGTATACTTACTCTCGAATGATGTCAGCATCATGGGAAGTCTCCGCCTTGAAGGAGCAGTAGTTGGTCCATAGATCAACGGAGGATGAGATGCTAGCAACACCGCGTTCATATACCTAGGAAAACGAAGTTAGCACCAACATGCGCGGTGGAGAGAGCGCTTTCGTACCATATCCGCTGCTTCTGTACCCGTGATGGAGAACTCCAGGTCCGCATATTTCTTCCAGTATCCGAACAGCAAGGGAAATTTAGCCAAGAATCGATCGTAGACGTTTCTCACAGTCGTTATGGCCTGCGGATTAGAGTTGCGATTGATTCCACCCTCGAGCGCCTCGGCACTACGAACAAGCTTCTCCCACGTCTCGAAATTGTCAGGATCGTCGGCCTAGAACGAACATCTGTCAGCTACAAGTCTTGCGCTCTGCAAATAGCAAGTGCGAAGCAGGATCATACAAGTTCAGTCTCAAGCTTTCTCAACTCGGCGTTCTCCTCCTCAGAACCTCCATAGTTGTAGTCCGCCATGCTGGCAATCACTCAAGGTACAATCAGCGCGGGGACAAGCGAGGTGTGATATGGTATGAATGCAGAGACTTGACAAAGTGAGAATGCAATGAGCGGAGGAGACGAAGACGCCTAAACAACACAAGTAGAACGGTCGTAGGAGAGACGCAGAGTTCCGCCAGGGAAGAACTTCAGATGGATGAGGAGGAGACACCCTCACCAGCCACAGAGCGGCCGCTTTTTCTCACTGCCAAGCCTCAGTTAAATGTGGCTTAGCGCACCCTGGGCTATGGAATTTCTCATAGCATATCCGAAGGTATTTCCTTTAAAGCTACCGATCACCAACAGAACATTGCCCCGATTCCCAAGTCCAACCTCACATTCTTACTCAGTGTTCCTGGCGCGGGCTTATCTCCCACCATGTCCACCACAACAGCAGCCACCGGCCTGGTGAGCAAGCTCCCCATCCGCCTACGCAATTTCTTCGCCCGCTATCCTCCGCAAATCTACTCCGCGGCCGTACGCCCTCCCGTCACTGAGCCCGAAACACCAGCCCCTGCGTCCGAGGAACCCCTTCCATCGCCATACACGCCCAACCGAGAAGCCAAGGGCTTCAAAAAGCCCGACCCGAAAGCCTTCTCCCCCTCCAAAGCGCTCCTCTACTCCAACCCGGAACATCCCAATCCCTTCCTGCCTCGCAAGAACTTCCGCAATGGCAAGTGGATCAGCCCGCCCATCGGGCTGAGAAGACAGGCGGAGCTGGTCAAGTTGGCTATCAAGTATAATGTGGAGGCGTTACTGCCGCCTGGGCGCAAGTCGACCGAGTATAAGGAGACGAGACGGGCGGAGCGCGGACTGGCAATCAAGGGTACCGGTGTTGGACAGAAGGTCAAGGGTCACAAGTGGGAACGGACAATGGAGGCTCGTTTGGAGGACAGACGGAAGGCTATGATGGAGATGCCGGAGATGATCCGGTTGTGGAAGCAGGTAAGCATTCAGTTGATGTTGAGTGTGCAGTTGGAAGGTGTTGAGGCTGACTTGATGCGATGCACAGAGAGGTCATGGTCGTGGCTGGAGGCAGTGGCCCAAGAGGTGAACGAATCTTTGTCAATATCTTTGCTATCGCACGGGATTTCATCATGTCGCATCTGTTTTATTTGCCAATCCTCGGCTCACACAGCTTGGCTAAGATTTCTATATGGATCATTGAAGGGGTTTGGGATGGGAGTTCTTGTTTGCATATGTACTGTACAAATAGATGTTCTAGCAAAAATTGCACAAAGCATTCCATTTTTCATAGTACCAGTCTGCATGCATACTGAACAGTTCAGAATCAACAAACTTCAGGTTCGAAGGCAGCCTCGATAACCTGGCCTATGCGAGGATCCTTATAACTGGCAATGAATATTTAGAAGATTGCCGATATATATGCCAAAAAACAAGACACTCGTATCAAAGCGCCAAATCCAAGATAGGCTCCAAATAGGCAACCAGATGCTTCTCATAAGTCATAATCACGCGCATACGAAGGAGTAACGACATCGCCAACCATCAGTGTCCAGCGCTCTGCATCATCATGCTTATCATGCGTAACTTCTGACGCAGAAAGGGAGCAGTGTCTCCCAAACACAATTTTATTGTTGATCTTCCTGGTCTTTGCCAGCGTCGAGAAGGGCTCATCGCGACGCATACCGGTAAACTGGTCGATGCAAACCATCTGGCACCGTTGACATGAACCAAGCACATCGAATCGAATCTTTCCAGGCCCAATCTTGAGCGACTCCCACTGGTCTTCGATGTATGGCTGCTCCGCCTTGGGTAGCTCTGTGAGAGTCTCCGCGACGACGATATTGGCCCGGAAGACGTCAGCAGCTACGGCTTTGCTGGTCCCGGCCCGATTTTTCTTCTGATTGGCTTTGATGTTCTCGTTCAAGTAATTAACAGAAGAGCGCGAGATGAGGAGGATCGGACTCTCGTTGGAGAGGAGAATGGGATTCTTGTCGGCAGGAGACGGCGAGGGGTCTTGAGGGAAAGAGCCAGGCATCACAAACTTCCTCAGGTACTGTCTCCAGGCGCCTGGGGGCTTTCGGGGTGAAGCATATCTAGTTGAGCAATGTGGTGGCAACCGGGCCAGTGTGCAAGGCACACCAAGAAAATCGGAGAAAAAATGTGCGACGGTGGGAGACGAATAAGCCTGTACAGTCACCTGGTCTCCACAAACTGTAGAGGATTTTGATGTTCGCTGGCAAAGGGAGGTCGTAACCAATTCTGTGTCCTCACGCAGGAGAGAAACTTCCAGGAGCTTCTGATCGGTTGAACCCGGCTCCCCGCAAGTGACACGCAGCACATTGCGGTCAAGATCGATAGAGGGTCGAATGAGAGCCATACGAGGATACTTCTTCTGGTTCAAGGCAGCACCTGTACCCTGGTGGACGAGACACCATTCACGGTCCCAAGCCAGCCCCTCTCTTCTGACCTCCCAGCGTTTTCCATCAGGAACTCTGAATGGTCCGCAGCTCTTGATCGGATAGAGAGACAGGCTTTCGATATAGAAGCGGGGTTGCTGAAGTGGCACACTGTGTACTGGTGTAACCAGAGCATCCGTAGTTGCCACTTTCTCGACATAAAACTCCTCGACAAACTCGACGAAGGAATTGATGTCCTTGAAGTTAGTCATCGCTCCCAGGCTGAGCCTTAAGACGCCAGTCGGCCGCCCGGCCATGACATCGTGGTCATCTCCACAACGCAAACCCGCTGAAAATTGCTGGAGCAAGTCAGCTCCCGTCCACCCAAGATTCCCCGATGTTCCTCCCGGGTTGCAGAGGGACCCGGATCTAAGTTGGATGTTTCTCAATGCTGCAAGTCTCTCCACTTCAGACTTTCCGATCCATGACCCTTGACTGTTGCGGAGGTTGAACGCGATGATAGGGCCTTGTGTAGAGGGCTGGGTGTAGTCTGAGAGAGGAGACGTATAAAGCTCGCAGACTCTCTGCCCGTTGAAGTGCGTCAAGGCGTTTAGTCGGTCATACAGGCGCTTTGCTAGGAAGCGGGTATGAGACAAGACATTTTGCATCGAGCCGAAAAGACGCTCATGGGTTGCAATCGCTGAGTCAAGAGCAATGATATCATGGAACGGGAGAGTACCATCCTCCAGCCGGTCATGTATCGACGATTGCTTCTTTGCATGCCACTGCAGCTCCCGTGTCAGAACCATATCCACGGTGCCTCCTCCGAAGTACCTGCGGTGCTCAAAAATCTGTCCGGCACTCTTGCGAACAATCAACGCACCAAGATCTGGAAAACCAAAGATCTTATAAAAACTTAAGACGGTAAAGTCCGGTGCAGCGGATGCATCACTCAAATCCAGAGGCGAGGTCGAAACCAAAGACGCCGCATCAAGAAGAGTATAAACGTTTCCTCCGGCAGTCTCGCTCTGGTTCCTGATCTTCTTGCACCATGACAATGGCAGACGGCGACCATTCATATTCGACTGCGCAGGGAACGCAAACAACTTGAGCGACTCAGACCGGACATCACACAATCTTGAGATCCAATCCTCGACCTCGTCATCGGAGGTAAAGCACCGACTCCCCTTCTCTGCGAGTTCTCGTACACCAACGAGACTCGTATGAGCGTCCACATGGTGCCCATACCAGAATCCCTGCCGAGTCGAATCCCTCATTCCATCCGCAACCAGCTTGATCGCCGCTGTGGCATTCGCCACAAATACAAGATCAAACTCTTCTGGGTCTGCTCTAAAGAACCGAAGGGCTCGAAGACGCACGTCATCCACGCGCCGCGTGGAGAGCTGTGAGGAGGCGGACATCGAATGGGGGTTTCCGAACAGATTCGAAGTCAACTCTTGAGAGAACGATTCGATCATTGACTTGGCGTATAACGTGGTTCCTGCATGGTCAAGATATGTTGTGTCTGCAACAATGATGAGCACAAAGTCGAATACAGTGTGGTCTTCGTCAAGGGAAGAGACGCACCTTTGAGCTGCGGATACTCTCGCTCTCGGATTGTGTCCACGTCCTCCGAGTATCCCCTTCCATACTCCAGCACATCTTTTTCACAACTTGTGGCTTCCACCATATTGAAACGTCTATCACACCAAGATCGTTCTTCCTCGAGAAACTCGCTTGCGAATAATCCAACCGAGCTGTTGCGCCGATGCGAGTATAAGGTGGCGACAACCTAACTCCGCACACAATCAATCAAACACTGGAAGATATCGCACCCAAAAAGCAATATATCACCTCGAGGTTGACTATATCAAACAAAAGCACGACACTCAATATATAAATTGAATAGAGATGAGTCGATGTTCAAGTATCAACGTCCGCTATACAGATAAGAGACATCTGTCGGAGCTTACCGACGGACGAAAGCTTCATTGACCAGTATCCACAGCATATGAATCCCACATCAGTGAGAAGGAATGATGACCTGAGCAATGAGGCCTCTTCAGGACAGACATCTCTCTGCCTTAAATAACTCAGATATGTCCAGATGCTTGAATGAAAGCAGGGATGATGGCAACTGCATCTGCGTGCTCAGTGACGAAGCAGGTCAGCTTCCCCACAATACTACCTACTTTTATCAGCCGACCGAGGATAAGAATCGGGGAAGGGCGGAAAACACCGAAGGGCGTGGCAACAAGCCACACAGCTACAAATTCAAGTGGCTCTCCGACAGAAAAACAAGCAGAGCGATAGCGACACGTCCCCAGCAACAATATCGACTTATCGAGGACCCCACTTATCACGTCGGGTAAGGGTCTCTAGTCGATAGCCTGGCATAGTTCATGCATGTTGTATTCTGAACACAAGAACCACGCTGCCTAACAATGCATTGTCACAACATCGTCGGACGTTTACGACGACATGGTTCATACTGCTGAGCTGACGGTTGGTGACCGAACTCGTTTTCGCCCCCTGATAATCGCTTATATCGACGAATAAGATGCTCGTTCTAACAGATGACTGCAGGCATTCCCATGTCCATGATGGTTCCCTGAGCGGCTGAATCTGACCGTTGGGTCGAAAGCAGTATGAAGCCGACCTATCATCGGAAGGTAATCGCCTCCAAACCGTGTGGCCATGAGGAGATTCAAGTCGCATATTGATACGTGGCATGGTTCGTCGCCAACGATTAATCTAGTCACCGACTGGGTCGATGAAACTGAGATACAAGGTCCTGGGTCGAAGTGCAGCGACATTTCAAATCGGGATCCCCATGACTGCCGACTCAGATCTCTGTTCTTGAAATGTGATTCATCTTGCATATAGCCTATCCGGTTGAAAAGGAAAAAGCGAGGACGATGTAGGAAAGGGCTGGGCAGAACAAAACAGGTAGGCAGGTAGCATTCGATGGGTACGACACAGTGGACACCAGTATCAGGAAAGACACAATCTACAGGGCTCAAGCAGCTGAAACGAGAATTTCAATGTGACTCGTGATTCATCGTATTTCAAATCATCGTGAAGATCAAACAGTGTGCAAGGCATGCATACGTAAAAATTGGGCTTCGCCCGACCAAGATCTGTCAGCTCAAGGGACATCCCGGAATCAAGGCCAAATTTCGTTAGCAGCATCAATCATGATCATCTCTTTCTCTTTGCGCTGTTCACTTGTTTCTCTCCTCTTGTCTTCGTGCAAAGTGCATGTCTTTCTCATCATCGCATATCCATTAGTCATAAACATTATCATCAATCGTGCTCAGACAACATAGTGCTGGCGACTCCTTGAGGAGCTGCGATGCCGGTGGCCATGACCCCGTCGGCTGCTGTGGCTCCTCCTCCGCACCGTCGTCGTCTCCTTGACGACCACATCCCTGTTCCCTCTGTAGATGAAGAGCGCCAGGATAGCCGTCCAGAAGAAGAAAACCGTTTCCATAATCCCCAGCGCAAAGCAAGTCTTCAGCATCGCGCAGGTCTTGTCGATTTCCAGGTACAAGTGGTTCTTGCTTTCGTAGCCATAATACCCGAAGGGGCCAAGTGACACCCACACAGAGCCGCCATTCCAGTGAGAGCAATCAGCATCCGCGATGAAGCGGAGCTCATAGACTCCTGCGATAAAAGCGCCGAAGAAGAG